TTCTCTCTCTCTCTCTGCTCTCTCTCTCTCTCTCTCTCTCTCTGTCTCTCTCTGCCCCTCTCCTCTGCTCTCTCTCTCTCTCTGCTCTCTCTCCATCTCCCGAACCCTGCAGACGACGCACACAAATGAGAGGAGGAAACGATTTTTTTTTTTTTTTTTTTTTTTTGACAACACTTCCCTTCCACCTGCGTCTGATATTGCTATTACGGCTACAATAACAACTCTGGCTGATGTGGCTTTCTTACTGCTGGCTTGGAGTATGGATGGAGGCAAATATATTTTGAGGTCGGACCGGGAATTTATATTGAATGTAGAAGTGATCGTTTGAAAAAAGAATGTTTTTTTTTTTTTTTTTTCATCATCAGGTGAATGCGTTTCGTGCACGACGAGAATCTTCTTTTTTTTCTCTTTTTCTTTTTCTTTTTCTTCTCCTCTCTTTCTTTATTCTCTCCTCTCTCTCTCTCTTTGTCCCTTATCTCTCCTCTCTATTTCTTTCTCTCTCTCTGTCTCTCTCTCTCTCTCTCGTCTCATCTCTCTCTTCTCTCTTCTCTCTCTCTCCTCTCTCCTCCTCTCCCTCTCTCTTCTCGGGTCCTCCCTCCCTCCCTCCCTCCCTCCCTCTCTCCTCCCTCTCTCTCTCTCTCTCATCGTCTCTCTCGTCTCTCATAAGCTCTCCCTCCGCTCACACACACACACACACACACACACACACACACACACCACACACACACCACAGCACACACACGACACACAGCACACACCACAACACACAACACACACATACACCACAACACACAAGCACGCAGCACACAAAGGGAAATCATATTTGACGTCTCCTGCCAATTCCCATGTCCAGTTCTTTAAATGGAGAACTTGGCAATATGCATCCACTCGCTGTTGCTCGCGCCGTGGAAAATCAAGCTCTGGAAAGCTATTATGAAAAAAAATATATAATGATTTGATTAATCAAAAACTTCAGTTGATTTGGTTCAATTTCGTTTTGAGTTCGGATCCATTATTGTGTTCTGAATATGGTCGTGAGTTAGTTTATTTGGATATATTTTTCAAATTCGGTATATAAATAACTTAGATGGGGTAAAGCCCACGCACACGCACGCACACGAGCACGACGCAACACGCACACACACACACACACACACACACACACACACAACAAACAACACACACCACAGACACACAACATACAAACACAACTACACACACACACACACAACACAACACCTTCGACCGCCCTCCACACTCGCTTCCGGCACGGAGTAATGTGTATGCACTGTTTATCTTGTAATCCTCGCCTCCCCCCCCGCCTCCTCTCCTATCGCCACCTCCCCTCCTCCCTCCTCTTCTACCCCCCTCGCCGCCGGTCCTGCCTCTTGCTACCGCCCGCCCTCGCGCCGCTCCTCCTCCATGCCTCCTCCTGCTCCTACCACCCTCCGCACTGCCTGGCTGCTTCTAAGCCCCTCGCCCGCCCTCCTCTTCTACCCCCCGCTGCCCCCCTCCTCTTGCTACCCTCTCCGCCCTTCCTCCGGCCTTGCTACCCGCCCTCCCCCCCTGCTCCCCGCTCCTCCTCTTCTAAACCGCCCTCCCGCACTGCGCTCGCTTCTACCGCCCCTGCGCCACCTCCTCCTCTCGCACGCTCCCGCTCCCCGCCGCGCCTCCTGCGGCTCCTCTGCGCCTACCACTGTCCCCACTGCCATCCTGCTGCCACGCGGCCCCATCGCCCTGCGTCCTCCCATGCCGGTCCTTACCCACCCCCATGCCCGCCTCTCCTCCGTCTTTACTACCGCCCCCCCGTGTCCCCTAATGCCGACAACCCGACCGTGACATCCCCAGCCTTCCTCAGTCTGCGCGCGGAACTAGCGTGGTGAGCGGGTGGATGTCCGTCGCGGCGTTCTCGTAGGGGGTGAATCCGGTACCATCGCCTGCACGGATTGACCCTTATGCGAACGAAGAAACGTTTTTGTGTGTTTTGTTTTTGTATTTTAAAAATTAATTCTTCTTTATCGTTGCGTATGTTCGTTCAAATATTTTTGGGGACTTTAGGTGTAGAGTAGAGTGATTTTGATTCTATTTTTATCAGTATCATTACTTTTATTGTCAGAAATGAATTCAAATGTGTCATAATGTTTTCTTTTACGCGATAGTATAAAAGAGACATATATATACGTGTTTTATATTTGGGCTCTATGCAGAGGAGGCATCTTGTGCGTTAAGTAAGATAGTAGTATAAGTAACTGGATAATAAATATTCAAATATTTAAACTCCCCCTTTTTCACCGCCGCTGTCTCTCTCTTTCTCATTCTCTCTCCTGTTTCTCTCCTTTCTCTCCTCTCTTCTCTCTCTTCCTCGTCTCTCTCTCTCCTTCTCTCTCTCTCTCTTCTCTTCTCTCCTCCTCTCTCTCTCTCTCTTCTCTCTCCTCTCTCTCTCTTTCTCCCTCTTTCTCTCTCTCTCTTCTCTCTCTCTCTCTCTCTCTCTCTCTCTCTC